ACACAGCAGGTCTAGGCCCGAAACCAGGAAAGCTGACGTTTCGGGCCTAGACCTGCTGTGTTCATCCAGCTCTACACCTTGTTATCAAGAGATCATATTTGCTGCTTTTTCTTTTGGGACGGGTGATAATTAAAGATGTTTTGTTGCTGCCCTTGAAAGATCGTCACTTCTATTCCTGAGAGGATAATTCCTCCCCGAGCCTGGGTGGGTGAGTGGACTAGTCACACCACACTTCTGCCATAACAAATGCAACTTCTGACAGGCCAACACACCCTTCAGTTATTCATGTAACCAGTTGTTCTCAATTGTTGGTTAGACAACCATCCTCGCTGAACAAAACAGTGGTGGAAGATACACCCTGTGGTACATTCATTTGTGTAAAGTTACATTGGTAAACAAGTGGACAGAGGCTTAGCGCTGCCCCTCTACCAGTTACAAACAATGCGAGAGAGGTCTGTCCATTTTCACAGGAAGTATTATGCAACATGGGAAAGTGTGAAAGGAAATAGACAGAAGAGAACACATTACAAAGGTATAAACTGCTTCTTCTAATTAGTATGGGTGTTATATCATTGGTCAGATTTTACAAAGATGTCAGTTTTAGAATATTTACCAACTCTGTCTAGAACTAATACAACAGATCTATTTTCCATCTGTGAAGTTATCAGGCAAGTGAATGGGCCACAGTGAACAGCAAGTCATTGCTGCCCTCCTGGCCTCAGCATATTGAGTCAGCCAATTCTAAATGAGTTAGTTGCCAACCTAATGCCAGTGTGTAGCAGCAACTGATCAATTCAGCTGAACTTTTAGCACAGATTTCACTGAGATTTCCGCTATTCTGTACTTCAGTACACCCAGTTAAACTATGCAGTGACAGGAAATATTTGTTCAACCATTGGATGAACAGTTTACTTGTTAGAAAATAAATGAAGGGTAAAATATACAAATATTTCCTTCCTTGAGAAGTCCTGCAGCAATCAATGAAGTCAGCACCCACATTCCCCAAGTGTGCTTCTGGCAGTGAAGGTCTATGGCAGATCTACTCAAAGTTATTGTTGCACATTTGCAAAAGCTCAGCTTTTGCAGTCTTTGCTGATTGTGAAGACAAAATGGAAGTCTTTTGCAAAATCAGAAGAGGAAAGAAGTGTTTTCAGCCTTGGACCTGAATTTTGAAATATGGAAGATGTGCATCTTCAGTTCTGAAAAGAAAGCAGGACACTTTTATTAATGTAGGCACTACCTTGAGGAGAAATTCTTTGAGAAAATTGTGTTATTTGGGATGTTGTGCACTTCAAAAGACCCATGCATATCTTGCACAAGTCACTCATTCTGCGTTTTTACGTAGGAATATAAATAGGCCATTGAGCCCATCAAATCTGCTTTGCCACTCAATTAGTTCTTGGCTGATTATGATCTCATATCACATTCCAGCACTATCCACCTACTCCTTGATGTAATTACTCTCCAGAAATTGATCAATTTCTATCTTTGAACATGCTCAATCTTGGAACTTCCTTGGCCTTCTGGGGTAGAGAATTCCAAAGATTCATTCTTTAAATGGCCTACCTCAAATTTTGAGATTATAACCTTGATTTTACACTCAGCAGCCAGGGGAATTCACCCTGCCGTGCCTTGTTCGCAATTATCGTTAATGCTCACAATTATTGTATCAGATGTTTGTCATTACACGGAAGTGTGTGGTCATAAGTTTTGAATGAAGCTTGTTCACCTTGCATTTGTTTTGTATTGCAGTTAGGTAATTTTCACATTATTGTTTTGTCAAAAATTCCTGAAAGACTACATTTCCCGTTGAGTGGTGTATTTTTCGCATCTGTCCCCTCGCCTGAGGCGCGGTGACCCTCAGGTTATACAACCACCAGTTGTCTCTGTAATGAGTGAGTGGCCCTATGGTTTAGTAGGACTATGGTGATTTTACCTTCTTTAAACTTCTGGTGTATCCTTTATTCAAGTATGTGTTGATGAAGTAATTTATGGATGCTGTTTGAAATAATAGTGTTAATAAATTAAGTATAGCTTCTTGCTTGCATTAAGTTATGTTTTAAGTGAAGTTCCTTTCAGTTGCTTTGGGTCATATTGTCTTGCAAAAATGCAGAATAACATTTTACACATTAGAGTAATAGGACAAACAGTTTTAATGTAAATATTTTATTTTGAGAAACAAGCATTGTAATCTTCTCCTGAGGTCCACAGCATCCCAGATGCCGGTTTTCAGCCGATTTTGATACACTCTGCCATATCAAGAAATCACTGAAGGCACAAGATATTGCAAAGTCTAAGGGCCCTGACAACTTTTCAATAATAATCCTGAAGACACGTGCTCCAGAATTTGCCACCTTAGCAGGTTTTCTCCATATGACTGCAACACCGGCATCAACCCAATAATGCGGGAAATTGTCCAGATATGTCCTTTCCACAAAAAAAGGACAAATCTAACCTGGCCAGTTACCACCCCATCAGTCTACTCTCGATCATCAGTAATGTGATGCAAGATGTCACAAACAGTGCTATCAAGCAGCACCTTCTCTGTGACCCCAGTTTGGGTTCCACCAGGCCCACTCAGCTCCTGACCTCATTACAGCCTTGGTTCAAATATGGACAAAAGAACTCCATTCCAGAGGTGAGATGAGAGAGACAGCCCTTGACATCAAGGCTGCATTTGTGTAAGATCAAGGAGCTCTAGAAGAACTGAAGTCAATGGAAATCAGAAGGAAAATTCATCACTAGTTGGAGTTGTACCTAGTACAAAGGAAAGTATTTGTTGTTCTTGGAGGTAAATCATCTCAATTCCAGGATGGTGATGTCCTAGGCCCAACCACCTGCAGCTGCTTCATCAATGACGTTCCCTTCATTGTTAGATCAGCAAAGATTGTAAAATGTTCAGCACCCTTTGTGAATACTCAGATACTGAAGCAGACCATGTCCAAATGCACAAGACCTGAACAATATCTAGGTGCAGATCCAATAATGCTCACAATTTATAAAATTACAAAAGAGACAATTCTTACAGCAGCTTTCATAGAAATATAGTTTATTCGGCTTGATTTTGATTCTTTCAAAGTCCATTCATGTAAGTTTTAAAATTGGTCATACTCCTGAGAGATTTGAGGTTGACACAGACACAGGAAGAGGTCAAGCCTCACAACAGCTGGTCCATCTTGTCATGGGTATTGTGTTGTGCTGAGTTGCTCTTGTCACTCTGATGAAAACCAACAGGAGTATGCTCACATTAGCACCAATCTATCACACTCTCCGCAGGGATGTTTTATGTAGTTTGTGAGAAGGAACCTACTGTATAGCCCTTCAGGAAGAAGACCAATACTGCTTGATGCTTCCCTATTTCTAACTGGAAGTCCCATGTCAGATGCTATGGCGTGCTTCCATAGTTCCTTAATTTTCTTTGGTTGTGATTTTTATGTATGCACTGAATGAGTTAATAATGCATGTTCAAGATCTTCCCTTTTCTTTTTACAGGCAGAAAACCTAACTCTTCTGGGGTTGCAACTCACTCAAAATGCTTATGTTTGACCGTTTGCCTGGCAAACAAGACCCAATGGAACCAGTTTCAATGGTGAGTATGATTGCCATTATTAAACAATTGGTTAAGCAGCAGTATATCCAAATCCATCATTTCATTTTAGATTCTTAACAATTTTATGATTTAGGATTTACTTCACACTTCATTAATATTGAAGGCATGGTCTTTATTAATAGACAGGAGAACGCCTCCCTTCAAAATGTAGCTGATAGTTAAATAGGATTGATCCTTTCTACAGTGGATGTTAAAACGTATACTTTGTGATTAGTTTTCAGCTTTCAGCGAGTTTATCCATTTAATAGCTGAGCCATGCAGATTTTAAAATAAGCTTGCATTTTGATCCACACTCTTTACCTTTAGCTAGTCTCAGTTAGAGTAAGAGGGAGAATATGGATAAGCGTTTCTGCTCATGATGGTTATCCAATGATCCTTTGCTGGAAGTCCACATTTGTGAACTTTGGATGACGGCAGCTTCAATCGGTTCTGTTCCTCATTTAGAAGAAATAAAGAATAGAACAGTGAGTAGACCATACAACTGTCTGAGTTATTCTACGTTCCAATACAAATCTGGTCTTCTACCTTAATTTCACGTCCTCACACAATTCCCTTATCCCTTAATTATCTTCATGCTCAAAATCTGTCAATCTTTGTTTTGAATATGTGTCCATTGCTGTCTGGAGTGGAGAATTCGAAAGATTCACAATTTGAACGGAGTAGTTTTCCTCCTCTCAGTCCTAAATGGCCAACCTTTTAGTCTAAGACTGTGACCCTATTTTTTACATTTTGTAAACATTTGTCCTTTCATTCCTCGGAACTCCAGGGAGTGTGAGCCTAGTCTACATGATTACTCTTCAGAGGAAATTCTTCTCATCCAAGGAGTCAGACTAATAAATCTTCATAGCATTCCCTCTAGGCTAACCGTGTCTTTCTAGAGGCAGAAATAAACTCTGTCATGGAATCTATGATTCCCTACAGTGTGGAAGCAGGCCATTTGGCCCATCAAGTCCACACTGACCCTCTGAAGAGCATCCCAACCAGACCCACTTTCCTCCCAACCTATCCCTATAATCCTGCTTTTCCCCTGGCTAATCCACCTAGCCTGCTCATCCCTGGACACTACAGGGTAATTGAGCATGGCCAATCCAATTAACCTGGACACCTTCGGACCATGGGAGTAAACCCATGCACAAAATATTCCGTGTGTGTGCGCGGTCTTAGCAGTGCCTCTTAGAAATGAAATAGGACTACTTTAATCTTAAACTTCAATTCCTTTGGAAGAAAAGCTAACAAACTATTTTCCTTCCTAATTATTTGCTGTAGCCACATTTTGTGATTCCTGTGTAAGGACACCCAGAACCACCACCTCATCTTACACACCCCATTCCTCCCCACTGAGTGCAAGTATTTCCCAACCTCTCACTATTCAAAAAAATATTCCACTTCTTTTATTGTTCTGTCCAAGGTGAATCACTTCTCACTTCACCATATTGAGCTCCATACATGGTGTCCTTGTTAACTCAACCAGCCTCTGCCTATCTCTGTCTGCAGCTACTTCACATCCTCCTCTTTACTTAAGTTCCCAGCTGACTTTGTATATTCATCAAATTACGTTATGTGACACCCCATTCCCTCATCCAAGTCATTATTGGAGACTGTAAATCATTTGAGGCCCAAGTACTGAATTCTATGATACTGCACCACTTATGGGTTTCCTATCTGAAAATATCCAGTTTATTCCTACTTTCTGTTTTCTGTGTATTGAACAATCTTCAGTCCGTGTTAATATATTGCCCTCAATCCCAAGAATCCTGATTTTGTGTGATATTCTGTTTGGGAGAAATCTTTTCACCCAGACTGGTGCAGGTCTGAAAGATTACAATAGGGAAGGACCCTTGAGGTACATAAATACCTGATATGTTTTTGAAGCATTGTAATCTACAGGTCCATAGGTAAAGTCACCACAGTCCCAGAAGTCCATAGGACTGCTGTTTCATTAGAGAGAGATAACTGGTAATAGCTTAACCTGAAGGTCGTCACACCTCAGGTGAGGGAAAAGATTGAGAAGGTGGGACCTTCATGGTGATCTCAACTGGTACAGAAACTGAACCCACACTGTTGGCGTCACTCTGGATTGCAAACCAATTATCTAGCCAACTGAGCTAACCAACCCCCTACACGTTTATAGACAAAGAATCAGAAAGTGGGAATAGGCTGTAAAGCTCATTTCCCTGATGCACAAAGGATGGGCCAAATGTCACCATTCTGAGCTATAAATAATTTCTGTTCCTATGATTCAGAATGGTCTGTTGATACAATATTTATTCATCCAACATGCTATTTATCAGCAAAAGATCATTTTGTATCATTCCTTGTTCTTGTGAAATGAACCATTATGTTTGTTTCTTAGCTTCACAACATTGAAACACTTCTGTTAGTTGATCATTGTTGTCAGTGTGAAAAAATAAAAAGTGTTAGAAAATAAGAATTAAGCAGGAGGTCATTTGTCCACTTAAGTCTACTCTTCCATTTGATAAGTTGATTGCTGATCAGACTGTGACTTTAATTACATTTTCTTGCCTATCCCCATTCCCATTGACTCCCCTTTCAATCAAAAATCTATCTAACGCTTCCTTGAATATATTCAATAACCCACTAACTTTACACTGGGGGATAAAATTCCAAAGTCTACCAACTGACTGAGAGGAAAAAAAATCCTTTCCATCTCCATGTTAATTGGTCGACTCCTTATTTTGAAATTGTGCCTCAAAGTTTTGACTTCTCTCAGCAGGATAGCATCCTCATAGCATCTGCTTTGTCAAGTCTCTCAGAACCTGAACTGTTTCAATAACTTCACTGTTTATCTCTTAAAACATTATCAAAATAATGGACTTTTTAAAGCACTTTTATTCGTTCTGCCCATCTAATGGAAAGTACGGCAATTCTGTTGCTCAGCTATTAATATTGTTTTTTGATGTCAAAGGTGTCTCTAGGGTGATTAGCAACTTGTAGTAAACTACTGTGTCAGAAAGTGAGCTGAAAACTAAATATTGTTGAACATTTCTGTAGAAATATTGGCATAGATCGCAGGTCACTGTGAAGAATTCTGCAATCACAGAAATCTTTTGTGATGTCTTTTCAGCCCAGACTTGCGATCCTGGCTGGGTCAGCTGACCTGTTAACATTGGGAGATTGGGCAAATTGGGGTTTTGTTTCAAGTGTGCTGTGGGTTGTTTTATTTAGGCTGTTTTAGAATGTTGTGTCTCAACTGCAGTGCAATTTACCATCGTTAGAAAAATGTGAGCTGTTTTCAGAGGAGGTTATTTAATACAAATTGGTCTGGAGTTCCTCAGTGAGATGGGAGCTCTTATTTAAAAAAAAGTTTTTCTTTTCAGTGTTTTAGTTAAAAGCAGGCAGGGAAATCCCTGAAGGAGAAGCTGTATAATTATAATTATAATTAACACATCGTGGTGGAATCATGCATTCCATTCAGTGCCGTCTTCATTTGTTTTATATATGAGCCTTCACTAGAACTTGGCATTGCTGTCCAATTGCAAAACAGTTCAGACTTAACCCCAATTATACTGTGGCCTGACATTTACAATTAAAATCTTCTGATCTGTATTCTCCACCCGAACCAGGGGATAATTTTAGTATCGATGTTGTTGTCTAGTTGAGATCATGTGATTAGCACAATTCCAAACTTTCTGATCTGTTTTAACTTGCTGTGTATACTGATGAATCCATTGGTATAGCTAATCGTTAAAACAAAAGGCATAAATCAGAACAAAGGGGTCAGCTGTCACATTGCTACAGTTCATACAGACTACAAGTGTCACAATAATATTAGAAGGAGAAGTCAAAGCATTGCTTTTTTGATCCAGTTCCAGGACTAAATATCAACAGTGAGGGAAGCCTCAGTAAAGCAGCAATTATCAGCAGCACCTCAAAGACTAACGCATCATAAATAAGAGATCAGATTTTCCACTTTTAGTACAGGGCTTACAGGCTCCTCAAAGGAAGAATATCTTTCCTTACAGTCAGAAAGGAAATGTTATTCATTTATAATTCACTCGCGTATGTTACCTGCTTATTAAGTGGCATTTATTCTTTGCAAAGAAGTTCATGGTAAAAACAGGGATAGCCTCGTTGGTGGGAACTTCTATCCAAAGATGGCCTGTATCTCTTTGTTTAGGGAATTGGTTGCAACTGTTTTAACAGAGCAAGACTCGTAGCCAGTAGAATATTTTGTTTCCCTTGTAAAGAGAAGTCAGATTCTATCCTTGTTGAGTTATGAAAACTACAGAACTTTATCCTATTTGCACATGTTGTTAAAAAAATTGTGTTTGTAGTCAGTTTTCAGCTCAATGGCTGCAGACAAGAAAAGGCCAAGTATGAGATTATTTATTCCTATCAAATTCCAAAGGAAAGCTTCTTTTCTGTTGACCTCAGTTTAATCTGGAGCAGTGGAGAAAATGAATTATATTGGACTGATATTGATACTTGCAGCAAGTGCACTTTAAATGAAACATTACCACAGGCAAGCAGTTTAATTAAATCTAATTCTGTACTTTTTTTGATGCATGAACTGATTTAAAGCAATGCTTGCCACAAACTCAGGGGAACAATGCTTAGATCAGACCTTCATCTTGCAAAGCAAATACATCCTCAAGAGGTTTGAGAGAATAAATAAGGTGTCGTATTCAACAAAGCTCAACAGGGCCGTTCAGCACAATGAAACTGCTGATAACTTTTAGGAAAAAGCTCTTGGTGATGCATTAAATTGGCTAGCAGAGGGATACAATTCAAATCTTTCAGTTCCTATTCATAGGAAAAATAAATTTAGATATTATTTAATGTGCAAAACTGTACCGATAATCATCTTTCTGTAAATCTTATTCATAGTGTTGCTCATGCAGAGATTGCATTCTTTAACAAGAACAGAATGGGGAAAAATGTCTATTTAACCTAGAATGAGAAGTCACCATTTTAGGATGAGAGGCAGCAGATTTAAAACAGAGATGAGGAGAAATTAC